GCGGCGAGATGTGCGGCGGGGGGAGCTGGGAACGTAGACGCCGAAAAATGGCCGGTTCAGAAGGCAGAACGTACGCCGCGTGGCCGCGCGTCACCGTATGCCAGCCACTGTGGTGGGCGCTGGGCGGCCTCTATAGCCACACTATATTGTTTCAGTTTTGAGAGCGCTATATCCAGCGCGAAACCGTGCGTTGGCGTGCTTTTATAAGGGTGACATTAAAACAATCATGCGTTTGTAGGGCGACTTTTCTAACATTTAGGTCTCTGCCGAAATGCCACGATGGTATACGTTTTTATGGGGTGACATCCCCGAATATGAGTTTGTCGGAGGTGACTTTACGATCGTTTTTCTGTCACCCTAGAAAACGTGCATTGTCACCCATCAAAAGGACACCATGGACCAAAATCACCCTACTAGCAAAGCACTTTTTAGTAGTGTCGCCCTATCCCCTGAACTGTATTCGCCCCTGAATAGAGGCGAAAATATTAAACTGACAAGAGCTCATTGTTACCTTTCCGCCCAATCACATCTGACGTCAGATTTGGATTTCTCATGTCAAACCGGGCATATTGTCTGACGTTCCCGCCGAAAAAAAATTGACCACGTTCGACGCCTCTATTTTACAACCCCCCCACATATAAGAATAATACGAAACATGTGCGCCCGTCCCATCTGCTGCGGCGTAGCCCCGAGATGGATGCCTCCCTCTCCCAGACAGACTCCGAGAGTGAGAGTGCGTCTGGTCTCCATGATGAAACAGTTCTCATATTCTCACCCGGCACCGAACAGGAAGATGAAAACGTCAACAATTCGGACAATGAGGACGATATTCCAATTGCTCATTTGTTGCGTCGAACTACCTCACTGCCATCTTCCCTTCTCCCTCATCAATCCATTGAGACCCCCGCCCTATCATTCCCTACAGCCCTCCCCTCATTTCATCCTCTGCATCTCGACCCCGAACGGTGTACACCACGAGGGCGTCCAAACTACAATTACTTCCGAAACAGCGATGAGCACACTCCCCTGAAAGTTTTTAAGAAATTCGTGCCAACCTCAATCATGCAAACTATTGCGGACAATACAAATGCATATGCGAAAGGGAAGAAGGCGGGGAAGGGACGGAGACGGACAAATGCTACATGGCAGGATATCCAAATTTTCTTTGGCTTGGCGTTGTACATGGGGGTCTACAAGTGTCCGTGTATTGAAGACTATTGGGACAGAACAGGGAAGGGGCCGTCACACAGCATAATGGGTGCGATGAGTATGTTTCGCTTTCAACAACTGAAGAGATACATCCACCTTTGCCACCCCGACGCAGACAATGGGCAAGAATATTTTTTCTCAAAATTGGATCCGCTCTTGTCACATGTTCTCGATGCTTCGTCAAAGTTTTGGTTTCCGGGGTACCAGGTGAGTGTGGATGAAATAATGATAATGAACTACGGCCGCTGTTCGGAGACTGTACGAATCAGGAACAAGCCAATTGGGTCCGGTTTCAAAGTGTGGGCTCTGTGTGACAGTGGGTACATGTTCAACGCTTTCCCACACTCGAACAAGGACCGCTGGATACATTGCAAGGAATACAAAGGAACTCTTGGGCATTCCTCTGCCGTCGTGGCCAAGCTGTCAGAAAGGCTACCCCGCAACGTCCCGTTTTCGCGAACCAACGACGCCCAAATGTATGTCATCTACATGGACAACTTTTTTTCCACGCCGCAACTTTTCGCCCTCCTCCGTTCTCAACATATTGCCGCAGTTGGGACTGTGCGATCGAACGCCTCTGGCTTTCCAAAGTCCTTGGCATTGAGGGGGAAAAAGAATGTTAAACTACCTTGAAATACCATGGGAGCTGCGACCTGTGAGGATGGAAAAGTACTTGCCTTGACGTGGATCGACAATGGCGCGGGGCAAATGCTAACAACGAAGCATGAGGTAGGCCCCAACAAAACCGTGGAGCGGATGCGTAAGCGCCCACGGCTGACGTCCACAAACGGAAGAAGGATTCGCGATGTCTTTGGCAATGCACCCGTTAAGAAGATGAGGATACCAGCAGTAATCGATGACTACAATTTCCACATGGGCGGTGTGGACATTGCAGATCAATTACGTGCAGTGTACACAAGTCACATGCCCTCTCGTCGCGTATGGATGCCAATGTTCTTCTGGCTTTTGGATGTGAGCTCTACAAATGCGTACATTTTGTTACGAAGTTTTAATGGGAAGTGGAAAAACAAGCACAAAGAGTTTGTCAAAGAACTTTCATGGGCTTTGGTAAATGGGGGTCGTGGGAATGCAAGTAGCTCAAATAGAGGGAGAGTTCTTCGCAGGTCGGAAGCAAATGCTGTAGTGCAGGAGGCCGGCGTTTTGCGGGTACCTAACTCTGCCGAAAAGGGAGGCTATGTTACAAGTGTAGACGCCTTTTGCCGTTTAGAACTCAATCCAACCGAGCCACATTATCCTGTACGCGTCGCAAATAGCGACCGCCGGGACTGCTATTTCTGTCGTGTGCGACAGAAGTTGAACCCTGATGAGCACAAAGCTCGTCAGAAGTCAGCCTTCCGTTGCTCGACATGCGGTCTTTTTCTTTGCGTCGAGGAGGGACGGAACTGCTTCCTTGATTTTCATACTGTCATAACGGACAACAAAAGTGATTAAATGTGTCGGTGTATTCCAGGGTAGAAAGAGCCGTAGAACGCGATTCTAGCCTTGTTTTTAAATGGACAGCAACAGGAAAGGCGGTACAGATGAATTGAACGTGTTTTTGACAACTCATACGTAGCTTATGATAAATTATGGGTCGTGGTCCTCTGTGATGGGCCAGACCTTAACTGTATTGGCCCCTGTCTAGGGGCAAATTCAGTACAGTCGAGGGGACAAAAACCCCTACTGCATTGAAATCGCCCCACGTAGATTTCACTTTGGCCGGGTGTCGCCCCAAAATCTACACTTTGACCCTAAACTATTTTGGCAACGCCTGCTTCCCCTTTTTGCCGCACTTTGCCGAAACCGAGTCACCCAGATCCGCCCCCGCCACTTGCTAACCTTGGTAGCTCTGTGACTGGTTACAACCTGAGCGCCTTTTCTGTTTTTACCGCCATTCGAAAGCCCATTACTTTCGCTTGTCTGCCAAAAATCCAGGCTGTGCCATGCCATTACAACGTAATATGCTTTTCCATATCGATCGATAGCCGACCATCATCGCCATTCCGGAAAAGTGCGGCAAAAAGGGAAGCAGTAACGTTGTCCGTAGAATAACGCGTTGTTTTTTTCCATTTGCCCACAAACTCGCTGGACGTAAAGTAAACCCGAGTTTGAAAAATCCCACGAGTTTTGCGGACTGACCTCCAGCAAGGTACCTGCCCGCAACAAACGCAAGTCTGGTACATCGTTGTGCCGTCCGACGGATCACGTGCACCTGGGCGAATACTCGCTGAAGCGAATATTGTAGCTCGCCACAAGGATAGAATAGTTCTCAGTCGAAAGGGCGATGTGTTTCGTCTTCTTGACGGGCTGAGGGGGGCCGTTTAGAGAGGACCGCTCTTTAGAAGCTTCTACTTGTCTGTCTTCTGCGATTGCTTTAGCGGCATATGTGGCAGATCTCGTGGTGCTTCGATCCGTTGATGGACTCTGGGTAGATGAAGTGATAGGGGTGTGCATGACGCAAACCGGTACGAACCGTGCAGTATGAGACTCGTTTGTGCTGATGGGAGAGCGGAAACCACACTTCGTTTACCTTTAAGACGGGTCGATCCGGCACTGCCGTACAGTAATCAGGCGGATGTGAAAACTCGTGGAAAACTCACATGTCCCGAGTTTCCGGTATGCTGTGAGTTTTGCAAAACTCGTTGTCTGAAAATTTTGCAATCAGAAAATACGAGCAAACTCGCGGCCAAAACACGTGTTTTCGCGACTTTACGGACAACGTTACTAACGTTGTCCGTACGTCCGTAGTGCGTTGCCAAAATAGTTTATGTTTGCCAAATAGTTAACGGACTGTTAGAATAAAGAGTTTTTTTCGGGCCACGGCCATTATTTGAGGTTGCCAAATTAGTTTCCATGCGATTCAGACCTGTAAAAAGGGTTTATTTAAGTGACTTCATTCCCTTGAATGAACACATGATGTGATTTCGTTGCCGTTGTAAAGCTACTGTATATGCGCGCTTTATGTGTTCATTGAGCTTTAAAAAGTCAAAATCGGTGAAGGACTTGGTAAGATACGGCCTTTTCACCAGACATGCCTAGAAAAAAACGGACACTTGCCACATTTTATCATGAACTGTTAAATCCGACTTGTTTGCGAATGCTACAGTAGGTGAAAGAGTTGCACTTGTGGTTGGAAAATGAATGTCAGTTATGAGTTTACGTTAACAATCAACTGCACATACAGCGCAGAATGAGAAGGCAGTCATTGCTCAGGGGACAAGTCCGGGAAGCCCCGCGACAACTGTTTTTGCCAAATGATGCGGTACTTCGAAGTAGCGCCAGAAGCAGAAATCTGTTGACTAAATGTGATCGTGATCTTACCCGTTACGGTGGTCCATTGCGGCTTACCGTATTATACATTAGTGAAAAATCCTTTTTCTGTGGTAAATTTGCGTCACCCTATCACCCGAGCCTGCCTGCTTGTAGCGTAAACCCATACCGTACATGTGACGTTCGAGATTTGTAAGCAGTGTTCCTGCCACCTCTATTGCCGCCGCTGAGGTGTCGTTGAATAGAACGTGTGAGAAACAGACACCATCACAAACCAATGGCTCATCCGATAATCTTTCACTTGCCCAATGCGCTGAGCCCCTCTGGCATTTTTCCGAAACCCCGTCATTACGCTTAATTGGCCACTTTGTTGGTCACAGGAGACACCATGCCTAGTTCAGATACGTTTAGATACGCTATCGCCCTGCAGCACTGAATCCTCTTCCTCTTCATCACTCCCAACATCTGCTGCATCGAGTTCAAGCAACCCCCGGACCCCTCTCTAGAAGCAACTCGCCCTCATGGAGTCTCTCTTCATTGCGCCAGCCGTTCTTCCCGGTGGCCGCGACTGGAGCCACGCTTGCACGTCCGTCGGCGCTCATGCCTCGACCAACATTTCTGATACCGCCGCCGAAGCCACCGCTTCCCCGGCTTTGGACGCATTACGCTGCGATGCTACCCCCTTCTCCGGTCTCATTCAGGTCTTCTTTCTGCTTTGCGTCTACGGTGTTGTCCTGTTCAAAGCCTCTCAGCTAATCACAGAGGGATCCGAGCTTCTGCTTCTCGTCCCCTCTCTCCGCGGCATCGTCGGCTCCGTCGTCCTCCCCATTCTTGGTGCTGTCCCAGACGGCGCTATTGTCCTTTTCTCAGGCCTTGGCCCTGATGCTCAGGAAACGCTTCAAGTCGGGGTCGGAGCCCTGGCAGGATCCACCGCCATGCTCCTCACTATCCCTTGGTTTCTTACAACCTTCGCCGGCCGTGTCAACATTGTCAATGGTGTCGCAACATACCATCAGAAGCCGCACAAGCTCCACCCACCGGGAAATATGAGCTTGGACCGCACTGGTGTCCAGCCCCTGCCTATGGTTGGAATCTCGGGTCGTATCATGCTCGTCACGGCTACCTCCTTGCTTGTCATTCAAGCCGCAGCTATAAGCACTGGATCCTTCTTCGCCTCTGATCAGACCGCTTCTGCCACCAGAGCGGCAGCCAAGAGCGAAAAAATTCCAGCTATTATCTGTTTGGTCATTTGCTTAACCCTCTTCTTTTGGTACTTGCACTATCAGATAACGGCGCCGCAAGAAGAGATCGAGTATCGCGAGACCGTTGTCGACGAGCTCAAGCAAAAAGCTATCCGTCATGGCGAACTATCGCTATCTGCTGCCTTCAAGGAACTTTGGGACGTTGCAGTAGACGCTAATGAGTCCACGGGACTGATCGCAGAAGAGCGGAACAAGAAGCGACTTTCGTCCTTACTCAAAATTTTTTTCCATGAATACGACACGGATTGCAACAACAGGATTGACAAGCTTGAGCTTACAAACCTCATGCGTGATCTTGGTGAGAAGTGCACCCCGGAGGAAACTACTATGCTTTACACTAAAATGGATTCCAACGGAGACGGGAAAATCACCTTGAACGAGTTCGTCGCGGCAATGCCCGAATTCATCATGTCCAAGGCTGAATCTCGTGTAGATCCTGCTTCAAGTCCCGACCCCGTTGCTGTTCCGCAAGACACAGAGGCTCAAGGGGCCGCTCAGGCGGGATCTGAAGCGTCTCGAGCGGAATGTGAAGAAGAAGACGAAGAAGTTCCCCATGACCTTCGCGACAAAGATCCCGAAACTCAAATCAGAAACGTAATGCGCAGATCCTTTCTCATGTTGGCGCTCGGTACTACCCTGGTTTTGATCTTTTCCGATCCTGTAGTCACCGTCATGACCGATGTCGGGCAGCGCATTGGAGTGGCACCCTTTTACGTTTCCTTTGTCCTGGCCCCCCTCGCCAGCAACGCATCTGAAGTCCTCGCCGCGTACTCATACGCCGTGAAGAAGACACGTAAGACTGTTACGATATCGTTTTCTACCTTACTAGGAGCCGCAATTCTGAACAATACTTTCGTGTTGTCTATTTTCATGTTTTTGATAGTGGTGAAGGGGCTAGCATGGCAGTTTACTGCAGAAACTATTTCCATTCTTGTTGTCGAGGTCTTCGTGGGATGGATTAGTCAGAAAAAGGTCATGACCCTTCGGCATGGTATTCAAGTTCTCTTGATGTTCCCCGTCGCTATTGCAACTGTAGCGTTCTTAGAAAATGTAGTCGGGCTCGACTAGGACTAACTAGGTTAACCTTCTTCGTAAATCGAATAATTATTGCGCGCTGAGTCTCTGCAGTTGGTAAGGCCGCGGGGCAAGGATACAGAACTTGGGGTTTTGAGCTTTTGCTTCGCTATGGACATTCCACGGGCGTCGATCACGTCGCCTTCTTCAAACGCAAGTCACCTTGTTGGTGTAATCTGTTTCACTCTCATATCGTACATGATAAGACTTACTAAGATACCATACCTGAGTGCATCTCCTCTATTGTCCGTTGCAACAAGTTGACAGCGATCATCGTCTCCCGTACTTCTTCCTCACGATCCATCTGGTGGAAAGCGACATCCAAAATCAATCGGAAGCGAGAGAGGCCGACAAAGTTGCCGTGGCCAAAAAGTTGGAGGCAATATGATGTCACGACACGCCGTTCCAGTTTCCCGGCCTGCACGATCTGTAAAAACTTGGGATCTGGAAGCGCGGCATTCATGGCATAGAACTGATCACTAAATCTCTGGTCATCTAGCTCCATTTCATGAATGAGGAGAGGGAAAAACATTTGGAACGGCATGTTGGCTTCCGTTTCAGTCGGGGCCTTGTGTTCCGAAATGAGTGCTGCCGCTTTCATGTTGCAAAGGGTCAAGAAGGTGAGGTCTGGAATCCAAGGGTCAGCACGTAAATGTTCTGCAGCGCAATCCAGTATTGTCTGATCCCTCCCTTCACCAAGAGAGCCCCTGCGATTGAGTAGTCTCAGTACCAATTGAAACGCCAGGAAATCTCGAGAATAAGACGAAGCAACCAGCAACCCAACAGTCGCACAAGACGCTTCAACTCCAATATTCTTCCGAATGAATCCCAGCACGTCGCTGTCGATGTCATCCTCGCCATTCGGGGTGTCCAAAAACTTTGCCATTTTCCTCAAGGAGGTCAGTGACGGATTGACACGAGGGTTCACGGTAGTCAGAAAATCGTGATACACATTTGCAATAGCGATGCGTTTAGAGCCGGTTTGAGCTGCGGTAGCTTTTTGAACAAACTTGTCGACAATGCGAGCAACCATGCCTTCTTCTGAGGCTACCGCATTCGACAGACGCATTAGATCCGTTAGTATGGGATCCTCAGACCTTGCTTTCTTGCGGTCTGGGGTCACAAAAAATGCCTCTATACCAGGAGGGGTTGTTAGCTCGGTGATGCAGTCCAGCACCTTGTCAATCTCATGATCAAACGCGGACACTTCATGGGGCCATATCCTTTTCTTAATCGAAGTCGGTAAATCCGTATACGGAGACTCATCGAGTCCATTCTGAACAATCTGTGCCCAAATACGGCGGTCTACGTAGTGTAGACGCTCCAATACGGATATACCAATTGGTGAGAGCTCGGGAACTGTCAGAAAACTATAGCTCTTGTCTAATAAAGCCTGCAAAGCCTCTTGTTCCAGTGTTGCTATTTGTCGCTTCATGATGTCAACAAGGGCATTCTTCACCTCGTTGGCCATACGATTTGAGGAAATGCCTCCGAGCTTTAGCAGTGGCAGAACTGGAGAAATAGTCCTGCCATTGAGCGAATGGACTTCTCTGAAATCTTTGACGAACTTTTTGACCCCAACTTTGTCCGGTAAGACTTCTTCAAATGCCGCTTTCAGCTCATCTTTACCTGCGTACCCGATTAGTTTTTGTCCAGGATCTAAACAGTGATTCATCGTGAAGCTTTTCGAACTGCGCGAGCAGGGGCCGGTCGTTTGTGCCGTGTAGAATTTTAACTCCCCGGAAGCAGGTAGATAACCGTGAGAGTGAGCTCGTTCAGACTTGAAGACGAGATGTGCCGCTGTGGACAAATTAGCTCGCACTTCTTCGTGCGAAATGTTCTTGTCGTGAGCTGTGACACCTCAAAAGTGTCCCCTTCCGCTTCCTTTACCCCTCTTGAAGGCTTTGCCAAGCTTTTTGCCGCTACGCCTTCGTTAAGGACTCGTTGCAATAGCAAAATCTTGCGGTGCAAAATGGAAATGTGCGGGGGAATCGGGTTGATGTGAATATTTATGCACGGTGTTGGGGATCAATCGGGGTATGAGAGAAGTACCACGTGTCAACTCTTCATTGTACACGCCGACACTTGTGTGGAGACATGTGCGATCACAGCACTCTATGGACAGTGTTTTGAAAATGCCCGTCAAAAATGATATAAAAAACACTGTTTTTCAACTTTCTGGAGTTCAAAGCCAATTCAGATAGGAACTTGTTTAGCAAAGCACGCTCCATCTCCAAGATATCACTGTTTTGCTCCTATTCGCGGCCCAGTAGCCACGCTCTCTACCGTAGCAACAGTGAAAAGCGGCTATGCCGAAGAGTCAAGGCCTCCGTGTGTTTTGCTTTGAAAAGGATGGGCCAGTTGCGTAGAACACTAAGATCGCAACAAGTACCGCATTCTCGATCTTCCGACTGACTAGAGGGACTGTTGCGATAGTTTGGGGTTGCCAGAAGAGAAAACAACCTAGTTGCATGAACGAGCATTCTCCGTACACAAATTGAACTCCGTTGCAGCTGGCCACGTCATCAACCAGGAAAAGAGATATGCCTGGAGCTAAGCGAACGGCGAGCGGAAGCCTCCCCGACTGGAATGCATTCTGGCGAAGTTGGGGACGAGTCGCACGCAATGGGATCAGTGCAAACGGAAAGCGATACAGTCTCCCGCATGTATTGCAAGCGTGGGCCCTTGTTCTCGCTGTTTTGTATCTCATGCTTCTTTGGGCCAGCCGAAGTGCATCCGAAGATACTTTGGCGGCGATACTCTCGGAGGAGGTTGCCATGACAGACGCCGAGTTTTTCCAAAATCGTCATCTTATCTTTTGTGTCTCACCGGGTAGGTCTGGCTCCGCCTACCTCAGAAATGTGCTCAATGTTGCCGAAGGTATCATTGCTCGACATGAGCCGGAGCCGAAAATGAACGGACCTATACTTGAGCAGGTGATAATAGAGGGTAAGCGAGAGGACACGTTTCAGAAGCGCAGTGCATTAAAGCTATCGTCTATACGTGAAGCTCTCGAAGGGACGCCCCAAGACGTTGTATACGCTGAAACGAGTCACATGTTCGTCAAGACATTTGCAGATGTCATTTTGGACGAGATCGGAGACTTGGCAAAAATTTCAATTCTCTTCCTCCGACGACCCACCAAGGATACTGTGTGGAGCCAGCTGCAGCTTGGGTGGTTTTCAAAAGGTCATTCCGGGAAGAACCTTTGGTACTACAATCCAAATGATGTTCATAAGTCAGAGATGCAAATACCTCTTACTCTTAATGCCTCCGATGCCGTCGAGTCCTTGATAGGATACAACGCTGATATACAGCAGAGAGGTTCAGAATTGGGGCAGAAAATTAGAAGAATGCACAAGCAAAAGAAATGGCGTCATGTTCGCATGCGTGAGGTTCTGCTAATGGACATATCTGGAGCCTCAGTCGAATCCGGGACGCTCAAATTGTTAAGCAGTCTCGGTTTAAGGGTAGAAAGGAGCAAACTGGACATGCTCAGCGAGCAGGATACAAACGCAAGAGATGCAAAAAAAGAACGACGTCATGTAGAGACAACAAAAGATGATGTTGAGCATCATCTGGATGTGATGAAGCGCCAACATAGTTTTCTGCGAGAAGTCTTGTACTAGTTAGAAGTCAAGCTCAGTAGTAAGCTGATTCGCGAGACCTTGGTGCGCCCCAAACCGCTAGGCAGGTATCAACATTGGTCAGGGTGCATAGAAGACTCCAAAATAGCGCCTTCGTAACTCGGAGGGTTCAAACTCAACTGATCCTGAAGAATACGCAGGGTGCTTCTATACACTCTCTGGCGACAATACAAGAAGCAAACAATGTCACTCTTCTCAAAAGCAAGCCTGTAAAATAAAGAAGCTTAGCACAATACTGTATACATCGGTCTGTTCGGGTACGGACTAGCTCTTCACAATGTTGAGATCATGCACGAGGAATGAAGCAACTTGTATATACATCACTCTGATTTCAATTTCCCTTTACGGCCGTGAGGGAGCGCACTACATAAGATAACCCCGAGTCTGTTTCATAGTCGGCAGCGCTTAAAAAACCGTTAAGCATAATTTTGTGCAGCACGCTTTCTGATACTGAACGCCAACTAACCTTGAACCCTTGAGAGTTTACGAAAGCCTTGGCCACCGGCAGACCGGCAGAGAGACTACCAGTAGTCCTACTGTACGGTACGTGCTCCTGACGGCGATCGAAAGATGTTATCTCTTTCAATCCTCTGTTGCAAAAACCATGTCAGAAATATCATTTTTTCATGATGTCTTAATTTGATAGTGTCAATATTTTATGTGGATATGGAGGCGTCTGTGTCTCAAAAAACGGAAATTCGCCAGCTTCTCCGTTTCCACGCATTGGTTGCTAAAAGTGTTCGAACCATCGGCAGTTATAAGCCAATGTCTGTGACCTTCGGCTAGACCCCCGTCCCGTTGTTTAGAGTTAGAGCACCCCGTTTCCGTTCGTGCTATTAGGAGTGAAGCGTTGTTTTCGGAAGAAACCCTGCTATCTTCTCAGGGCGTCCATCATGTCGCAAAGAAAGAATCCCGAGCTCGACGCGAAGCACCAAGCCATTTTGCGGAAAATGATGTACGTGAAACTCACCACACATTTGCAGTCGGTGATCATGACCACAACTGTTTTCTAACTGCGAACTTCTCACATGTCGCCTTGTACTTCCGGCGGTCTCCCTTTTCGTTTCCTCTGTCTCTTCAAAGGCAATTGTCCGAGAACAAATCGTGCGCAGACTGTAGGGGCCCATCACCGCGATGGGCGTCGACAAATCTCGGAGTTTTCGTATGCATTGCATGCAGTGGGATTCACCGGAAACTGGGAACACATATCTCACAAGTCAGGTCTATTACACTTGATACATGGACACCGGCTCAAGTCGCGCGGTTCCAGAAGCTCGGAAATGCGAAAGCTGCGCAGTACTTTGAAGCATGTTTGCCAGCCGATTTCCGCCGTCCAATGTCCGGAGACTCCACTCAAATTGAACGATTCATACGAGAGAAATACGAGCAAAAGCGCTACATCACGGTTGAAAATGGAGGTCTCGGAGGTGGGGCTCCCTCTCACAGATCACAAAGAGGGTCTTCATTTGGTATGGGCGGAGCTGCTAGTATGGCTCGCCCAGGGCTTGGCATACGCTCTGAGCAGCCAACTGGTGCCTACGATGATGTCAATTCCAGCGGAAGGACTGCAACACGGATGAGTTATGGTGGTCGATTTGGTGTCTCTAAGTCTACTGCAGGTGGTCTTGGGCTCAATGATGGAGTGAGCACCGCCAAGTTTAACTCTGCCCGAGGCATGGGGAGCGGTGCGCGACCCAAGAATGCCCTACAGCGCGCAAGCACAATGAAGGAGATTATGAACATGGGCTTCTCCGTGCAGCTGGCCTCGCGAGCAGTGGAAGCAGGAGAAGGGGATTTACAGAGGGCTGTAGAATGGGTCTTGGAGAACTCGGACGCGGCGGGCACCTTCGAAGCAAAAGCGGCAAAACCCACGCCGCCAGCACCAGAGCGAAACTTGCTTGACTTTGGAGATCCGGCACCGGGGCCCACGTCTGCTCCTAACTCTGTCCCGGATCCTGCTGTAAAGACGTATCCTCTACACAGTCACGCGACATCGAAAGCACCGCTATCCGCGCCTCCCAAAGATGATTTCGCAGACTTCGCAGACTTCGGGGCATTTGAGAGTGCGTTGCCACAAAAGCCAATAACGACACACACAACCACCAATACTATCGTGTCTCCAGTGCACACAAATGGAACTGGAGGTTTGAGCGGGTCACTTGCCAGCCTATATGCTCGCACGCCAACCACCTTTACCAACCAAACGTCACAGGGTTTACCAAAGCCGACGACATCGCTGCTAATACCGCAGCAAGCAACTCAAATCTACCCCAAAACTCCTACGAAGCAGTCACCTCAGCAATTGAGAAAGCCCCTTTCAATGAGCCCCCTTGGCGGCCAAAAGCCTGGCCCAGGCGACATCTCGGCGTGGCGGTTGAACAGCATCGCTACGTCTCCGGCGAGAACCAGCCCTACGCTGACATCACGGTTATCCGCATCCGTCACAAACAGTACGATTGTGACCAAAAGTCCGCTGGTTCCATCTCAGCCGCCAGCGCCCCCCATGCAATTCTTGTCGATTTCGGAAACCCAGGACGTGCCACCTCCACCTGACTGCCCTCCTCCGCCAAAGGAACCAACGGAGAGCCTCCCAGAGGCAAGCGCTCTAGAACAAGTGCGGGTGCGACAGCAGCAAGAGAACCACACTGCCTCTCCACCCAATAAACACAATGGAACTCCCACAAGCCCGGTGAGCACCAGAAAGAAAGGACAAGAATCTGACGACCCTTTTGCCGCTCTATCAATGATGGCGCTAAGTTCTGCATCAACTTCAAAGAAATCTGCAAAAAAGCAAATCGTCGAACCTATAGTAGCTGAAAAGGAGGCAGTTATAACTCCATCCACAGCACCTGTCGCCGACGTATCGGCAGGAATCAACTTGGAAGATTTCTTCGGATAACATCAATTCTAATCAAATAAATAGAGTCGTCGTGTACCAACAGCGAAGTATTGAGCATTCGAGAGCTATAAATACAATGCCAGTAGTAATCGTCCAGTTGCTGATGCCAAACTCTCCTGCATTACATTGGTTGCCCCGGACCCACTTGGGGAGTGTTTGAATCCAATTGATAGAGCAGGTGCATGAGCCACTTCTTCGTTGACGGGTCGGTCTCCAAAAGATTTCCAAACGTATCATCATCAAGAGCTTCAGGTAGGCAATGTCGAAGTGCATCTCTCGCCCTAGGATTGTCAGACAATCGCAAGTAGCATCGAATTACATGTTTCAGCAGGCGAGCGCTTGGAGCGTTCACGAGCGCGGCAACCATATTGCGTAAGACGGTAGAGACCGCGTAAAACCTCTCCGGTGTCGCACAAATGTAGGTCAGGCCAGTGTCGTCCAACAATATCTTCTGGACAATAAAAGTAGCGACAGTTTTGCTCAGCTCTGAACCAGTTTCCATGATGCGCAAACAGAGGGGAATGATCTCTGTTTGCAGAAGAAAGTTGATAACATCCGGAGCATCCATCTTGACCAGGGCTCCAATGACTCCGAGCGAGGTTAATCGCAAGTACTCGAACGGCCTTGTCTTTGAGACTGTATTCAGGAACGGATACAAGAAGAGTGGAATGTGTGCAGTGAGGAAATGAGTGCGCGTGGTTTGGTGAGAGGCAACGCATTGGAGGAGGGCCAGTGCGTTGCAGACGCGATTGCTTGCATGTGCCGACAGGGCCGGAGGAGTTAGTAAGGGGTAAATTGAGATGATTTCCTGAAGCAAAGCCGCGACCGTCCCCAACCCATACCAGAGCATCGGAGCAAGGTCGCTAAACGCTTCGCGCTTCTTACTGAGCTCTAGAAGTGCGGTTTCGCGCTGTATCCGGAAGGAAATTCCGCAAGTAAAGGAAGATGTCTTGTTAATTCTTTCTGCTCGCATTGACTGGGGTCCGATAACACATGTTCGGAAGGAAAACAATAACCTACCTTCTCCGGGTTTGTGAGATCTAGCACTAGCTCGTGTACTTGAGCCTCGTTGGTCTTCATGGGAGCCGCCATGGTGTGTGAGGGAATGCACCAGGCTTGTCCGGCGGGGTAAAACCTAGCAGGACTGACCTATGCGTCGACAGAGCTCCAACCAGAACGGGGGATACAATAACTTTTTCTCCCCAAGCGATATGTGAATTGACCGCTGTGAATTGACCGCCGGAACCTTGTACACCCGGCTAGAGAGTTTGAGACAGCTCTGGGGAGTGATGTTGGGTAATCACTGACTGCAGCCAACAACTTGGTTTTTCCACAAAGTGCCAAACGTGAAATGGAATGCAACAAGCACCGCCGATCGATGCACGCAATGCTCCGATATGGTTGCTTGTTCGTTCGTCACAGGCAGTTGAAGACGTCTGCAAGCAGGGACTAAAACCGGTGGATGAGAAGATAAAGAGAAACAATCGTTACGATGGCGTCATGTGGGAGCCTGCAGGGCAGGTTAAACGCTGGGTGCGTGAGTGTGCCTAGCAGAGGAAGACCGGCCAACTGACTAGCTTAAATATATTCACATTTCAAGAATTGGAGGGTCTGTATGTGCAGTTGATTGTGATGATTCGACAGTTTCAGAGAATAAAAAGCAAATGCAAAAGCATTACAGACGCAGTGACATGTTGAGGTCTAGGAAGAGGACGCCTAAAATTCTAATCATTTTTACGTTATACAGTAGTATCCCGTACGTACCACGGCTACCACATGATCACATTCCGAGCGACTGTACCTTCTCCAGGTTATCCAGATCTTCTGCAAAACGCCTCTGCGAACATCGCCGAGAACAGGACGAAGCGAAAAACGACCTTCGCCCTCTAGAATGAAACTTTGTAGACGTACCAAACGAAACTCGGTAAACATGAAAATGATTCAATATCAGTTCTGCGCTGTGCTTGCATCTCAACTCATTACAATTCGTGTCTCCTCGCCGCAGGAGTCCCATCTTCCATACGCTTCGTTGCACTTTTTATAATCGACGGAATGCGATGCGTTGCCTTGAGTGCTGGTCGGAAATCGATGGCCAGGTCGCTGTCTTTACGAAATCATGTCATCATGTTTTCTGTATGATTTTCGTTCCAATCCATCTCACCGCGGCGATGTATGCGCACCGTTGTGCACTTGCATGTCTCATCCTAACAGAGCCATCGTTTTCAATCTCCTCTTCTATTGTTTCTAGGTGAACCATGCAGCGAAAAAAGTTTTGAGAAAGAGTTATCATGTCCTTTCTGTGATACCGTCCTTGCAAAGGACGGTATCGGAGAACTCGTCTTGAAGCCGGATGACGTGCACGTAAGAAAGACGAGCGCAAAAATGTTTGGATTTGAGCCAGAAAAGTTATGCGAAACGTTGCAGATGGGGCTCGAGTTCTGGGCGAAGCAAAAGAAAAACGAATCTATTCAGCATGTGCTGGCACTTAACAATATGAAACAGCGTGCCAACGAAGCAGAAGCAACCACGCAGAAACTTTCAAAGGTAAGCGGCATAGCCTCTTGTTTACCTCTCGCCTGCTATAAAAACGCCTCGCTGACGTGTTTGACTGTCAAGTATATTGGGTAGGCCTTGGACGATGAACGGCTCAAAAAGAAGTCTCTCCAGATGGAGAGAGAGGATCTTAAGAGGCACATAGCGGAGCTTGAAACAAGATACGCCGAAAAATCTCGGTAAGCGGCATGCGCGTTTATCCACATAACCAAGACTATTAGACGTTTAGAAATCACACCGATTTCAGCATTCTCCTAACAATCGCTTCCATGACAGGTCAATGCGCAAGCTAAACGAGCTATACACTGAACTTCGACAGATCCACAAGCGCTTGGAAGTTGATCTTCGCGGTGGGCGAGCCAGTCATGAGCATGATGTCGATGCATCTAAGTATGGCGCGATGGAGATAAATACTCGTCGCAGAGGAGATCATCGTTCTCCAATACAAACCTCAAGGCCTCCCAACTCGGAAGTGAGAGATACAAGGGCAAATGACAGGCCCGTGGACAAGTCAGAGAGAATTTCAATGAATCCTGCAGGCGGTCCTCAGAGAAAAGATGTGGAGAGGCAGCGTCATTCACGTCTCGGATCTCGTGCTGATTCACAGTCCTTCGACCCACTGTATGCACTTGCTCCCAATCATGAGTTTAATTTGAGTCGCCAGCATGGAAAAAGGCAGACACGGAGATCTCCGGGCAGTGCTAGGAATGAGGATGAGGAAAATGACGTCCTTCGTCGCAGTTAGTCGCGGAATAGAGAATGAAGCACTCTCTTCTTCGCTAAACTTGAGGCAAGTTGATTCTCGCTGTTACTCAGGTCCAGCTCATGGCTCTCCCCGAGGAAGCAGCCCAAGCGGTTTTACTTCTCAGCGCTTGTGTCTGGACGACGGATTCGGCGGTCTAACATCACTAAATTGAAATGAGAAGAAAGTACTATTCTCTCCGATCAACACGCAACTTATACTTGTGTGGCAGTCGTTCCTTTGTCTCAAGCACTTTCCCTTACGAGAAATGAACTTTTAGAAAACATTAATGGCGTGGTCCAGTCGCAATTAGAGAGACGCCTTCTTTAAACGAAAAGACTGCTTCACGAAACAACTTTTGAGGAAGAGCATTTAATTTGGATGTGTACGGCTCTGAAAAAGTGAATGAAAACGTTTTTTAAAGATGAAGTACTTCGAGCAGCAACTCGCAAAGAACGCTCTCAAACACGAATCTTCAATACATGTCCTTTAATAAAGCTATCTGTATCTTGCACATACCAAAGAAATGGTTAACCCGTTCTAGAAGTGTGTGCAGGGTGTTCTCACCCTCTGATGACAGATTTAAAACGCCACTATCATCTCACATAACACTATTCACCCTTGCGTCGTTTGCACGCTCACCTGTTCCCGTTTGCTTCAGCTGAAGCCTGAGAGTGAATGGCAAATTTCATTTCCGTTCTAAGAATATAGCACATATACTATATACTGTATATATAGATATAGATAGATATATTAACTAGAAACACAGTGACGCAATACTCTCAGCAATACTGCTGTGCTCGCGCATAATCCTTATATTCTCGCGTGCGTCGAAATAACATTATATCCAGAATCTCGGATGCAATATCTGGAAGACTGTTGTGTGGGACCCATACAGTGTCTCTCTTTAGCAAAGAGAGATCCTGTATGGGTCCCGTAAAGAGTCTTTACCATGGGCATCTCCATGATGGAGTGAGGTATGCTAGAGCCTTTTGGGATGCCCCGCATAGACCCGAAGAGACCACTATCCTAACCCGTTGGATAAATAGGAGTTATCACCCGGCTACGAGGTGGTAAGTCCAAATACACTCTGCTGTGCTGCTGCTGTCTGCTGTATGGTACCCTTGGGTACTGTACCGAGGGCCGTTGCATGAAAAAAAACTCTTCAGCAGCTTCTTCAGATTACACCGTCCCTCTCAGAGAGAACGTACCCAAGTACTGTACAGTATGTACTGCGCAGTCGGTTGGCTTTAGGTGTGGAGAAACGTTTCGATTTCGCCGAATGTGAGTGGTGGGTATGCTAAAAAAAGCTATTATAGCCGTAGCGACATCCCCTTCTCTGTCGTATGGGGCCTTTGTCAAACAGAAAGCACTGCGGCCAACATACTAGGCCATGAACGTGGCAGCCGTATCGCACTTCTCTTCCCGAACGGCTACGTTCTGCGATGGAAAATTATGATAAGATGTTCAGCTCAAAAATTACTGGAGCCCGGACCGACATTCTCATCCACCCCAATCACCAAATCATCTGCAAGGTCCCCTCGCGGACCAAAGACTGAAACCCTTCTCTACCCTATGACATTTGGAAAGCATGAAGCGGTTCGTAAGATATTAAATAGTATGAAATCTTCTACTCTGTCTCTCTCCCAATGGAATCGACTACAGCCCAGGGGACAGGAATTCAAAATCGTTTCCCTCGTGCGAGAATAATTCGTTTGCCAGTAGTGCAGCATCAACAAATTGGTTTCACAAAGCGCTTCGGACCCGGGTGAGGGACCTGGACCAAGTCTCCAGGGAACAAAACAGCAGCGTCATCGGAAATGTCCGCTCATGTGGATGATGAGCACCAGGCTTCGGACACGGACTCCGCAGCGTGCATTCGTGACTTCAAAAATCCTGGACCGCCTCTTCTGGCCATCCACACAACATTGGGCCTTGATGAATACAACAACCTCGAATGCCGAGAAGCATCGCCCACTTCAGTAGAAGATATTTGCAGGGATGCATCGGAAGGGAATGAAAACAGACCGCCCGAAGACAAACCCCTGTTGAATGACATTTCCTCATTCCTTGAGATCATGCACTCGAAGAATATCACACTCAAAAAGCTCATCAAAAAGCAACAGGTGCAAATTACACAGCTCACCTTAGAGAACGATGAGTTGAGATATGAAAATTATACTAAGGGTGCCGACATTCGAATGCTACAAATGCAGCTCGCCGGTATGAGACCGGAACCTGATCAGGCCGACAACATGACGGCCGGCCGCACCTACTCTAACTTGCCTTTTCGACAGGACGGGTCCTTGGTAAGAAAAAAAGAAGATGGTGCACCAAACGCTGTCTCCATCGCAGCATCGGAGGACCCACTCACCGCAATACAACTTAAGGAACACACACTGCCACCATCCACTTGTTCACCATATGCCCAACAAGGTGAGGATCACATGAAGCCGAATGCCGCATTGTGGAAGTTTGACTTGTATGCACTTTGCGAGCCATTAGCACGGGGGCTAGTGTTAGCAATCATGTATCCGACGTAGCGACAAGGTGTTAAAATAAGGAGCAGGAAGATAAAGAAACGTGTGTGGTCTTTGTTTATCTCGACCCTGCCACTCATCGATGACAGTATGATCATGGTTCGGCACGTTCCGAGGACGTAAGGAGAGCGTTCATGTCCACGCCCGCAATACGACTCATGGACTGTTCAACATCCGTAGTGAGACCCAGACCTTCCTCCGCAATCGCATGCCAATTCCTGGCCTCGCGAATGAGTTGGTCAGCATGGCCCAATGCCTTGGTAACCATTTCTGAGGTGAGGGTCATCGACTTCTCCAAAGCGATGTGCTGCTTGGTGAGGTTGGTAAGACGGTCGTGGTGCTTGCTTTTCAGGGGGGCATGGGCCAGGTCGAGAGCCACAGAGGAAGCTACGCTGCGCAGGACAGCTGCTGATGGACTTGTTGTATCTTTGTTCATGACGGGACGAAAGCGTGCACCTCGCCTAGGGGGGATCGATAGGGGCTGTCTGGCCGCGTAGGTGAGCGAACTGATACTCTCTTTCACGCTGTGCAGATCTGTGGAGTACCACTCGAAGGGTACAAGTACAGAAAGCACCCAAGACGGACGGAGGCATATAAACTCTTGATGCGCATGGCCCAGGATGCTTTCAGTGATGAAAGTACTGCGCATCGCTGACCCACTTCGACAAGGTACAGCGATGGTTACTGTTTCAGGCCATATGACAAATTACTTACAGAGGAATCGATGATACTGTATGGACACACTGTGTCCATATCATCGATTCCTCTGTAAAGTCCCATCTTTGCCACTGTGTCGGACACAGTGGCAAAGATGGGACTTTACAGTACGAGAATTGTGATGGTTACTGTATGAGACTGTTTTGCGACTTTGCATAATGACTGAGCACGAAAATTTTAATTGGAAAAGCATCGAGAATGAGTCGGCGTGTTCCAGTGTGTGGGGTGTCTAAAGTTGCTGCACCAATCCACACTGATTGTGTATCTCCGCACAAGAATCATGAATTAATGCATTCAACAGCTTCTGAACTCTTGGCCAAAATCAAAAACTTATGATGGGTTGTGGAGTCGTGCTCATGCGTTGTCGCCGCCTGCAAGAAAGACACAACCACATACGCATGCGCTCGTTGTACCTCTCGGCAACCGGATTCGATGTGCCTGGAAGCAGATGACCGGGGGGAGATATTTTCTGATCCACGCCTGAACTACCTGAAGTCGACACATCGTCAAGTGCCTCTGTTGAGAGTCACAGGCAGGGTGACATCAGCCAACAGATCGCCTCACAGAGGGTACTGGCCCATGTGCTGAACTCAGCACTCAAGTGCACACAGAGTGCAGGTCACAGAGGGCACTGGCCCATGTGCTGAGTGCGACCACTCCATGCTGCTGCGCAAGAGTCGCTTTTTCAGTTAAATAATAGCTATTTTGTAACGGTGACAAATCGCCGGAGCAGTCGCGCAGAATATCTTTTGAATTGAAAACTCACAGGACAACAGCTATTCTCATCCCAAAAACAAGGAATGGGTACTGTACCCGGCTTCCCGTTTTGGCCCATCGTTTTCCTCTTCCGGCCAGATTTCTCCAATAAATCACCAATTCATGTCGTACAGCCGTAGGGCTTCCTTTCTTGTTGCTGCCAAATGCCAAATTCCGCCTCTGGCTACGGCGTCTGATTGGAGAAACCCAAAACTTTGTTTTTTTGAAATTGTGATGAAGCATTGGCATCGATATGTGGCCAGTTGCTTGCATGGTCAAAAATGAATTCAAGGCTCATGCTCCTACTGGATTGGCCCTGCCATGTCTGTTTTCGTTATGGCCCTTGAGAATTCAGCACTGAACCCTTCCAATACGCATTTTACAGGGCCTTCGCATTTGCTCTCTAGTGTTTCTCAAACTTTCAGTAGCCGTCTTGCCATCCCTCTCCTTTTCGCGATACTACAATGAACTGGTAATCGGTGAACGCCCAGGGCTGCGACCTCTCCTGGACCAAACGAACGTTTGAATCTATGACTAGCAATGAGCCCTCCCGAAAAAGTTGCTTCCAAAGTCAACGAAAACCCTCTCTTTTACAGTAACTAGCCCTACGCCAAGCCTCGACAGGGACGAGGTACAACCAGTTTCCATGTCTAGAATGAACGTGACGATGCTTCCAGCCTCGTATAATAAATATACGACAACGAGCGAGGGCATGACATGACGGGCATGAGGTCGTGAGTCTAAATATTTCCTTAAATGTTCCACGCACATGGCCATCACACTGCTCAGGTCAAGCATGAGATATGTTCAGGTCCCTCGAGCTGGCATCTCCTTAATCACCTCCGTTGGACTTGGGGGCGGAGCGGCTTCCTCCCTTGCTTGATTTCTGCTGCTGTTGTTGCTCGCGTCTTCTGTCATTTGTCCTCTTGTAAATAGCGCACTGGGCTCTTTCCGGGCACTCGCGACGACAGTGAGTGCACAGCCATTTGGCCCCGAGATTCGATGCTTCCTCCCAGTTCCATTGATGACTGAGGTGCATAGGTTCCGATTCGATTTGGATGCACGTGCAAAAAAAGAACAAAACATGAAGTATTAGCATCTTCTAGAAACAACCGAGGGCCCAATGAAGTTTTCCGGGGAAGCAAACAACTTACTCTGTAAAACACTTTTGGCAGATGACCTTGCGACAAGAGCCGGTTGAGAAATTGCCGCAAGCGACTAAACCAACTTTCTTCGAGGTCCTGGAACAGATGTGACAGAATCTCGATGGTTGACTTCGGGGCTTGTGAACATCGGCATCTGTGGCAGAGCGCATGACCTTTGAATGCCGAGATGGCATATCTGGTATCGGGCGGGAAGTAGAGGGATGATGAGGTTCTGCAGGTAAGCCATCCTCGGATGAAACGGGAGATAAATCTGCGACACAGACATGTCTTTGATGGGATGAAATGGGTTGGGAAGGATTCGGAGAGGAGATGGTGGTATGAGAATAAGAAGGGGTTGTCTTGGAGTAATCACAGTGTTGATACTGAAGGTGATGAGCGGAAGAATGAGATGGGGAGGCCGAAGTTGTGTTGAATGGTTGCAGTGGATAAGGGTGGGAGTGTCGAGGCGTAGAGGTTGCACGAGGTTGGGATTCTTGTTCGGTAGGGATTGGATATTGGCCAAGGGCGACGCGGCTTAGCAGATCAAGAGGGTCCATGCGAGACGGAGGCGGCGGTGCTTGCTGGCATTGCTGAGGATGTGTTCGATGCAGCGCGTCTGGCGGGCGGCAGAGGGGGGTGGAAGACGGGCCTGCAGGGGGGTGAAGGATGGGGAGGGTCGGTGGTGGCGCGTAGGTTGACATTGCTTTGAAAATGAGAGGGGGAGGGGAGGGGGGAAGAGGGAGTGGGCAGAGAGAAGAATGTGGCGGATAGCGAAGCGGGATGGAGAGGGTTGGGAGTAAGGGGGTGCGAGGTGTGGGGAGGGGGTAGTCAATGGGAACGTACAGTAGAGCACAAGCAGCAAATATCGTAGGATGGGATGGGAAGCGGAATTTAAGATGTCGAAGATTGCATGTTGACTTTGTTTTGGATGAAAATAGGGCATTTTAGGTGCTCTGAACACAGCAGCGAACGAGAAGGCAAGGTATCTGTATCTCTCATGAAAAGGGCATGACGCGGACAAAGGTCGATTTGAAGTCGATTTGAAGCAGAGGAGTGTTCAGCTTTTCTCTTTTTTTTTTTAGAATCGAGAATTTCAAGGGGGCAGCGACGACAAATACAAACGAGGAATGCTCTGTTGGCGGAAATCAAGCAGGTTTTTTCGGTAATTTATGCATTTTGAAACAGGAAACGGGACCCTCCCTCTCATACTGCTTCTCTTGTTGGCTGCCTTACTCGGCAAGGAACGCCAATCATTTCCGTAAAGCTAACAAAACGTACTAATTTACATGAATTTTATGATGTAAACGAACATTGAATGCTTCCGTTTCTTCCATTTCCTTGTCGAATTCAATATCTCGCCTCGCTGCCGTTTCCCACGAGTGAATTACAGAGGACCAGCGAGAAGAGATCGACAAATTGCTGTAATAATTTGAAATCTCGAGCCTCTTTCGTGGTCAACATGGAAGTCATGCACAACAATCATCCAATCCGCCTCTACCGTTGAAATTCATACGAATCTATGATAAAATAGCGTTATTTCCCTGCCGCCGATTTTTGTGCATTGTCACTGCTGCATTCCCTTTCCAGGATGCATCTCGATCATGATAGTCGCCTCGGCGAATGCATCTACTGTACAGTACCAGAAATGATGAAATCGCACCAATTTACTGTATCTCGATCATGATAAAACTTTTTATCAAATTTGGATTTTTAATTTAGTCGCCTCAGCGAATGCATCTACTGTACCGCAAATGATGAAATCGCAAATGATGAAATCGCACCATTTTACTGTACCCACACGTGTGCACAATAAAAAATAAAAGAGAATAAAAATCCAATTCTCAAGATCTTCTTACCACATCCCATTACACTGCATTACAGTTCGATTCGCTGTACAGTGGTCTACTACTTACACAGTGAAAGTTAGAAAAATAAAGGCACTCCATAAACACTCCCCACCTGTCATGACCCACCCGAACAAATTGGAAAAAATAAACCCCACAGTACTCGATGACTCTCCGCACCTTCACCATCTCATACTGTATGAGATCATACCGGACAGTATTCAACAAAGGCCTCAAAATTCACTTGCCCACACATCACCCACAGAACTCATCCTTGTCGATGCCATCCCCATTTCTTTACCGACGCATGCGCAATTCGAACATTAAGGAACAGCTTATTCCACAATAGCTTATTCCACAACAGCTTCCAAACAGTATACTTTGTCAATTGCAACCGTCCCATTACACTGCAGTCCCGCTACGGTAGATCTACTACTGTGCCATATCAACTACAGTACACGTCTTCAAATCTTTCCAAGACCTGACCACCTGGAACCGCACCGAAGGGATGCCTTGTCCTGCAAAGTATCTATCGTCTCCCTATCTTGTGATAGGGCCAACATCTGGCATCAAACTCAGTATAAGAAGGCGTCATCGACGTACATCACAGTCTCCCTATCGAAAGCTGTCCAAATAAACCTAAACCGAACTCCAAAAGCCCAACAAGCTCACCTTTCACACGGCCCATCGCACTTACGCCACAATTGCCGGAAAAAAATGAACAAAATCCAGCGACCTCTCCAAACAAGACACGGAGGCTCTGCTCAGCTGCGGCAGTCTCCCCTCGATTTTGCATAATAATTTCATCCCTTTTATCGTATTCGAAAGGTCAGAGCACACCCCCATCACGGTTGCATTATTTTCCTAAAAGTATTATCCATCGCCCTCTCCGAGATTTCCTCCATCAGACCTTTACATGGCCGTTGTCATTTCTTCATCCACCCTATTTTCTAACTACCTGTACCGCTTTTCACCTCCTTCTGCCCAACATGAAAACATGAAAGGTATAGAGATCTCAACAAATGCCTGTCTTGCGTCCTCTTTTTCTGACACATTTCTTTCTGGGCGCACGCATTACAATAGTAGAGAATAGTGCTTTACAAAACCTTGTTTTGCTCTCCTTCCCTATGGCCTTTTCCGTACTAGCTTGCCTCTGAGAGCAACATTTGTACGCTCAAGAGTTGCCCATTTTTACTCTTGTCAGACTCCTCCTTTCCAATGGAGCATGCAAACGAAGACCCACCATTGAATCCTGCTGGGAAGCGCAAAATAGCTCGCCCGCCGATGTTAACTCTCGCCAGATGTCCAAGCCTCAATTTTCACATCACCGAAAAGCCATACAAAATCGAAGAGGAATCTTTTGGCGGTGTCATGTGGAGCGTCGCATCGCGACGAGGGCGCCGAAGGACAAATCGAGAAGATATGTTTGCAATCTTACCCTTCGTCGAACATCTTCATGGATCAAAGGCCCTGCCCATCAGCGTCTTTGCAGTATTCGATGGTCACGGTGGTCAGAAAGTTGCGCAGTATGCCAGTCAACGTCTCCCACAATTGTTCTTGAGAAAATATGAAAATACTTGCGATGTGGAGCGCGCACTTGAATGGGCCTTCATCCAAACAGATAAGGAAATATCGGCTGGGAACGCAGAGCCAAGCGTTTCATTGCCGGAACTACAGGAGTTTCAGCGCACAACAAGCTGCGGCGTGTTTGGTTCGAAGGCTTTGAAAAGGGGCGATTCAGTGAGAAAATCTGACCATTTATCTCAATCCCATTCAGTGCATGAACATCAACTCACATACGCCCATTTCATGGAAGCACCAACACCCATGGCTCCTAGATCACGGCGGGATGATGACTCACCAAGGGAACCTTTCAAAAGAAGAAAATCGAAAGAGGAAGACTCTTTGTCTGCTGTTCCTGTTACCCTGACGAGAGCGTGTGGAACTACGGCCACAGTCGTTTCTTTGGTGGGTGATCAGTTCACAGTAGCTCACGTGGGCGATTCCAGAGCTGTACTTTCAAACCTGGACGGTACTGTGCAAAGGTTATTTGAAGACCACAAACCAGGGCGGCGCGATGAAATGGAAAGAATTGAGTCGGCTGGAGGACTTGTTGTCGAGGTTTCAGGAACTTTTAGGGTAAACGGCGTGTTAGCTGTATCTCGAGCAATTGGGGACCCCGAACTCAAGCAGTTCATTATACCAAGGCCTGATATCTTTAGATTTTCGCTTTCAGGGCATGAAGAGTTCTTAGTACTGGCATCTGACGGATTGTGGGATAACATTTCTGACGAGGAGTGCATGGAATATGTTCGCAAGATAATTTCTTCCGAACCCGCCGACGACAGCTTGGAAGAGGAAGCAGCAAAGCTTTTAGTTCAGACTGCGTGGGACCGGGGTACAAATGATGATATATCTGTAATCGTTGTCAATCTGCTAAAGTATGCAAGTCTATGGGAAAAGAAACAAGAAGAGGGCGACGCAGCTGTTGAGGAAGAAATGTTAGGAGTGAACACTGAAAAGATTTCTTCTACATGCGTGGACGAAAATCAAAATCCAATAGAGCTGGAAATGGTAACGCCTGTTGCGGCATTGCCTTTAGAAACGCCTCGTGTTCGGAAACCTTCACCATGGTGAGCGATGGCTTTCGGGAGTTTACCAGTATTCTTTCAAATCATCGTGACTGTACCCGGAAAGATCAAATGACCCTTCATATGATCCATGAGCTTGCACAGCATTTGAAAGAGGCGCGATAAAGGCTTGAAAGGTATTTATTCGAAGGGCATTGGCAGCATTTCGCATTTTCTTCACTGCCGCAGGTCTAAACCGTGTCAAGAGAACCGAGGGAGGTAAAAGATAAAACTTTACCTATGTTTCAATACATCGATGTTAGGGTTGAGCAGTCGCTTGCGCATAACGGTTGTCTTGTCATGAAGGAGAGCTTTTCGGCTGGAACAGTAGGCTTTGGGACCCCACGAGCCCCTTTTTGTAACCAGCACCATGTTGTGTTTGTAAGGTTCTCACTGCCATTCTACAATACTCTACCTGAAGTTTATGCATAGTCTTCTGGCAACGGATTGTCTGACGTAGAATCTTCCATTGTCATCCTTAATCTCTTCCCAAAACATGGCCTACAATACATGAAAAGATAGCTGCCAATGAAGACAAAACAGAGCGAATTAGTTTGCCATATGGAGCCATTATATAGAAACTCGCTTGACCTAAAAGCGCGCAGTAACTAAAGGATAGTATTCCCGAGTGTAAAGATTTTTTGTAGAGACAAACAGGAACGCCTATGTTATGAATACGTTTTCTTTCGAAATAGGAGCCATTCATGTTACAAGAGCATGCTTAAACGATTTAAATCCTGGCATACGTCATACTATCTCTTCCATTTAGTTTACAGTTTGTTTTAGAAGCAGCCGTGTATCGAAAGCAATGTGGTAGTGACGCTTGTCGGCAAAGCGGCTTTGCTTGAAAGAAAGGTACTGAAAATGCCCTCTTAGTTGCTGCGCCCGAGAAGGAGCGATAGAATTTTGACGAGTTTTCTCTGATGTGCAATGGCGTACAAAAGAATGCGATGTCCGGATATTCTCACATTACAAGTTTGAGATATGATGATAAACAGAAAGAAAATAGAACATGGTCACTCTCCACTGCAGTTTCTGTTACAACTGCTTTTTCCCGTTCTTGTAAGAGTTTTTTAAGATGTCTGCTACGCAAAAGTGGGTAGTGTATCAAGAATCTGTCTACCGTTGAGTATCAAAAGGTAGATTGATGTCCAGGCATGTGCTTGTCTTCAGTCCCCTTTCTCTGGTGCGCCCTCCGCGGTAGAGTATTTCTGCAAATTCCGCAGGCTTAATGGAGATGTAATGCCAGACACGTGCGGGGGCTTCAGTACGTAGTTCGTCGCGAAGCGGAGGAAGGAGCACATGTAGAAGTACAACAAATGCAATGGTGTGCCACTCTAGGGGGCGTACAGTAAACGGGAGACAAATAGGTTGTTGGGATTGGCAAATTCATGGGATCAAGTTTTCTCTCGATCCACTCATCAATGCACGCAAAGACTGCGGCGGCGCCCAATCCCGTGTGCGAAAGATACACCGTCCACATCGACACGGGTTGCCAGCGACATTGGGCACGACAGCGGGCACGACAGCGGGCACGACAGCGCAACCAGCACGGCGTCGCAAGCTACATCGCCACGCAGCTTCACGGGTGTCACCCCCTGCGCAGGGAGCAGGCGCTGCCTCAGCAAGCGATCCCGCGACCGCGCCAAGTCGCACCAAGTCAGGCAAGCATTCCTCCGCGCCTCCCCCGCGGCCTCTGGCACACACCGTCTCCGCAATGCAGCGAAACCTCGCGGCGTTCCACGTCATCTCGGCGTTCGCCCCCGGGCGCGGGCTAGCGCTGTGCGCGGGTCGAGAGGCGGCTCTGTCGAGCCGGGGTCGCGCGCCCGGGGCATCCGGCAGGCCGGGCTTGCCGCGGCGCACGGGGCGCGCACTTGTGCCGCGCTGCACGCTCACGGAGGAGCAGGAGGCGTTCATCTTTCGGCGCTCGCCGTACCACGGTTACAGGCAGAGGCGGTACGGGTCGGCGGCGCCGGGAGAGGAGGGCGGGCACGCGCCGTCCGTAGCGAAGCAGGGTGAGGGCGGCGACGATGCGGGCGGTCCGCACCCGGCGGCACCCGCCCAAGACGAGGCTCCACGGAATGTAGGGCCGCTTCGGGAAGAGCGCGGGCGGCGACGCGACGAGCCGCTGGAGGCGGACGTGCAAGATGTGGAGGCAACGGTCGGGCGCGGTATTGAAATGTCGGCGGAGAGGGACGAGGATGTCAGCGGAGAAGGGGTTGGAGAACGGGTTGGAGGAGGAGACAGACTTTCAAAGTCACTGCAGACGCAGGAACAGGAAGGCTCACACGGGGGTGGGGTGGCGGAAGCACGGGCGAAAGGCGGTGGGGAAGACGCGGGTGAGTCGGGGGTGCGGTTTGGCACGCACGAAGCGCTGGTGCAGGCGCTGCATTCGCTGCGCGGGGACCCGCTAGAGAGCGAGGGCGGGCGTGTGGTGGTGCATCGCGGGGCGGTGACGGCGCGGGTGATGATCATCGGCGAGGCGCCGGGGGAGCAGGAGGACGTGGAGGGCAGGCCGTTCGTGGGGAAGGCGGGGCAGCTGCTGGACAAGATCTTCCAGTACGGCGGGTTCGACATGGAGCGGGATGTGTACGTGACGAACATCGCCAAGCGCAGGCCGAGCGGGAACCGGACGCCGAGCCTCAAGGAGGTGGAGTTTTACATGCCGTACTTGCTCGAGGAGATCCGGCTGGTGGACCCCGCGATCATCGTGCTCGCGGGGAGTTTGGCGTCGCAGGCAATGCTCGGGGCGCAGGTGCGGATCACGAAGATTCGGGGAAAGTGGTACACGCACGGGGAGAAGGAAATACCGATGATGGGGGTGTTTCACCCGGCGTACCTGCTGAGGAGGCCGGTGGGGAAGTTTGACATGGTGAAGGATATCGAGGAAATCCGGGCAAAGTATATTGAGGTGGTGGGGGATGGTGAGCTGGGACCGCTTGGACGGTGAGTGTGTTGTTTACATCCTAGACTGCGGGGGGGTGGG